TTAGCATGTTGTGCAGGGGAAAAATAAATGCGGAACTACATTCAGAAATAAATGAGTGATCAAAGGAAAATAAATAGGATGAGTTTAGCATTTCCTTAAACATTTTCCATTTGCCCACCAATTTATTTTATTTATTTGCCTACTTTAATCACATGTTTAATTATTTCTATATGTATTTAAACAAGAATTTGTGTATTTATACACACATTTATTTATTTATTTGCATATTTATTTATTTATTGTTTTTGCAGGTTTCGTCCTCCATACCGTTGAGAGATAGGATGTTTATAGGTGAACAGTCATTCATTATTTCCTGAGTGTGTTTACCAAGGAAAGGAAAGGTTTACAAAGAAAATGTGCAGTGAAATTTTGAATTTGAACCCTGCACTTTGCACGTTATAGCACCTTTTTGCACGACTTTTATGTAGCCTCTATAATAACCGAACATTTGGAGAGCCTTTGTCCTACTCGTTGTGGTTCCTTTTTCTAGTTTGTGACTTTCGGTTGGATTTACGCATCCCTTAAGTTTTGGGACGTTTTGGCGCTTCTCCGTTTCCTTAATTATTGTTAAATTTTCAGTTGAAATGTTTGAATGAACATGTTTATTTTGTTTATCTTAACGCTCGTAATGTTTGTACGACCGTTACGACAAGATAGCAACAAGAGTTTCTCATTTCTTATTATTCTCAATATTGTGAACGTTGTAAATTATAGACTACACTTCCTGTTAATGCGTCGCACCCAATGGCTGATGCAAAGAAACGACAATGTTGCACCAATAATGAAAATTCCCTTTATTATAAACCAACGTAAACAGAAAATAAGAACAGCGCGAGCTGTAATTAGACGCCTGACGTAGAAGCGGCACGCCTAAAACGGACCAGTACCCATCTTTTCCACAAAATAAAACTGCTTAATTCATTTTTAACCTACCTTTACATTTTTGAGTAGAGAAACGTGAGCTCACCTGCACTCGAAACCATCTCCATCAAGTGCACACAACGCAAAACCAACTTCATCTTCCTGAATGTAGGTTTAGTATTACCGTCGCCGCTTACTTGAGTTTCGTTTTCCTGGGAGTGAGAGGTGACTGTCATTGGTCATGTTTGCCCTTCCCTTTTTCTGTTTGCATAACGACAGAGCGTATGTAAAAAGAAATATGTGTCCGTCCATCTACATGACCGTCTGTGTACTTGTATCTGCATATATGGGGGAAGATAGCCTACTCCCCATAGGATCAATGTGGATTAGTCTACTTTTAAATTTAGCATGTGCACATTGATCAGCCATTGTGTTATATATATATAGGAAATAAATAGAAACATCTGCTAATTTAGCTGTTATAGCGCGAAATTGAAAATATTGAAAGATAGGTAGACCCCTATTGGGTTAAACTGGCCCCCAACCAGTGTTGGGGAGTAACTAGTTACATGTAGCCTAATGGAATTACGTAATTTAATTCCAAAATAAATGTAACTGTAATCAGTAATCTGTAATCATAATAAGTGTAATTAAATTAGTTACTTATGAAAATAACGATTACAAAGAGGATCTGAATATTTTCACACAAGCACACACAGATTTAATTGATTTCTTTCCCAAATTGCATTGACTGTTCTAAAATATGAGACACCAAAGTTTCAGGAGTTTAGGACACAGAATAGTACACATGCAAATTCAATAAATCTTTTATTTCCTATTTGGGTTTATGTATATGCTTTATTTTTTTAAGATCAACTGTTTATTCCAAGGCATTGTTAGATGTTAGTGTTTCTTGTCATAGCTATGCAAAGATTTGATTTCAAAAATAGTATAGCTTTTAAACTATATCTTATGATTTTAAATCTGTATTTAACCTCAGAGCGATCTCAATGTAAAAAGCTGTGCTTAAGTCTGATTCTGTGGTGTCTGTGCTTTAAAATCTAATTTTTATAATCTTAATTCAAGTGATGATTTGAAAGTCTGACAGTAATCAGTGCTGAGTTCCTGTAAGGTTAAACCCTGCCTGCTTTAAATGTTTTAAAATGATTAACAGTTGAAAACATTTGTGAGAAATTGAGAAAAGTAATCAAAAAGTAGTCAGATGTGACCCTGGACCACAAAACCAGTCTTAAGTGTCAATTTTTCAAAATTGAGATTTATACATAATCTGAAAGCTGAATAAATAAGCCTTCCATTGATGTATGGTTTGTTAGGATAGTAACAATATTTGGTCTAGATACAACTATTTGAATATGTGGAATCTGAGGGTGCAAAAATCTAAATATTGAGAAAATCGCCTTTAAAGTTGTCCAATTAAGTTTTGATATATTTACGGGAGGAAATTTACAAAATATCTTCATGGATCATGATCTTTACTTAATATCCTAATGATTTTTGAAGAAAAAATCTATAATTTTGACCCATACAATGTATTTTTGGCTATTGATACAAATATACTCATGCGACTTAAGACTGGTTTTGTGGTCCAGGGTCACAAATTAGTTTCATTACTTTAATACAGTAATTGAAATAGTTACACTTATTACATTTTAAATAGGGTAACTTGTAATCAGTAACCTATTACATTTACAAAGTAACCTTCTCAACACTGCCACCGACCTGGGGTAAGAAGCCCCCTGGATTAACTTTTATGAATAACTTTTGATATAATTCTTATTAATATTTATATATTTTTAAAACGGTCATTCATGTAAAATACTAAATCAACTATTCTATCTAAAATTGTATTTAGATTATCTAGTTTAATAATTGAATAACTGATGACAGACAAAGCAGAATCCCAGTAAAGGAGATTAATCCTATAAGCAGGCATATAAATATTTACATATTCAATTTCCCTTATTTTAATTGAAGATATGTTATTATAGCCACACTATGAATGCAAATTTAATGATTAACCTATAGGTTTTAATGAAAGTGAAAATGTCTGTAATGTACATTTTAATTCATGGAAATATTAAATAATAACCCCATTAATTACAGCAAGTATTACATTTATTGCATCTTACCCCAAAGTAATTTTATCTTAATTATATAAAATTTTATTTATATAATTGCAGCAAACCATTGCACAGAAAAAAAGAACCAGATCAGAGGTGCTCAGAGGAAAGACAATTTTATTGTAGAATATTAGAATGTTACAGTATATGCTGCAATATATGCTGTATGTTTTGTGGACCAAATTACATTGAGATGAAAATACATTATGTTACAGTATATGCTGCAATATATGCTGTATGTTTTGTGGACCAAATTACATTGAGATGAAAATACATTATGTTACAGTATATGCTGCAATATATGCTGTATGTTTTGTGGACCAAATTACATTGTGATGAAAATACATTAAGTGTTACACAACTTTTCTTCACTGTGACATGTTACACTGATCTGATGATTGTCACGATGATCTAATCTAGTCATATGACTGTGAGTTCTACTGTGCTAAGCATTTTCGTAAGTCTAGACTGATCACATATAGACTGCATTCAGAATGAACGTGATCTTTGGGCTGAGCATTCTTGTCTTCATATTGTCTGCACGTCTCAGCTTGCTGTGACGTAACCCCTTGACCCTTTCTTGACAATGTGCGGCCTATTACATAATTTCCTTATTGCAACTCAAGTACATTTTTAAAGCCAAAACAGGAACTAATAAATTAATTTTTAAAAAATCAAGTTTTTCCATCTTTCCATAACACTTCCTTTTTGCATCAACATAAAAAAAATGTTTGAGCTGGGACTACTTTTTATCCAAAAGATGGACTTTTCACTGGAAAACACACACTTGCTGTGTAGCAAATTCTATGGGTGCTGCTAACGGTGTAGAAATTACATTGTGCACTTTCAAGGGTGCATAATATATGTTCAGGATTCTCAGCTCATTTACTACCTGCTCTATAAAGCGCATGCTTTAAGTATTTAAATGCTATAAAATCAGACTCAATGGAGATATGTCAGTGAATGGAAAATATGAATCAAGGATCGTTTTGTATCAGGTTTTAACGTTTCAGTCCCTTTTTCAGGCTTTTCATCATCGATCTCTGCATGAGGAGGTTGGGAACTGTTTCTACAAGAGGGCAAAGAAATGGCATCACATAGTCCTTAAATATGCCGCCACCACCATGTGAGTGTTCCTTTTCATCTTTTAACTTCTTTATTTCTTCCTTGAGGTTATAAGCTTCGTCCTTGAAGCCTTTCTTTAGCATCTCCTCCTGCTCCTTCAGTTTGCTCTCAATGGCTCCGTCCATCTCCTGCTGCTGCTGCTCCTTCTCCTTGTTGAAGCTCTCCTGCATTTGTTTTACCCTGTCCTCATGCCGCACTTTCTCTGTCTCCATCATTCTTTCGCTCTCAATTCGTTTCTCCTCCTCTTCTTTCAACTTCTGTTTCAGCAGAGCTGCATTCTCTTTCTCTTCTGAACATTCAGTCAAGACAGAAAGAATATGAAATGACAATGATAAAATAACCTCAACCCTAAGCAATTCAGATTTAAGTGTTTAAGGTGCCTACATTCTGTGCTTCAAAAACCCTAGTACAAACGTACTATTCATTTGTTTCTCATTTTCAGTGAGTTTATTATCCATGCAGAGGATGCTGTTTGCTTCAGGTTCCCGTTCTTTCAGAAACTCTTCCAGCACAGCCTCAGCCTGCACACAAACACATCTTAGACCAGTCGTTCTAAAATCAAGTCATGCTGAACTGGATCATGAACACAATTAATTAAGATGTAAATGTACTTGAGTCACATACACTGACAAATGTGACCCTGGATGACAAAACCAGTCATAAGTAGCACGGGTATATTTGTAGCAATAGCCAACAGTACATTATATGGGTCAAAATGATCGAAATTTCTTTTATGCCAAAAATTATTAGGATATTAAGTAAAGAGCATGTTCCATGAAGATATTTTGGAAATTTCCAAATTTTCCTGTAAATATATCAACTTAATTTCTGATTAGTAATATGCATTGCTAAGAATTTCATTTGGACAACTTTAAAGGCAATTTTCTCAATATTTTGATTTTTTTGAACCCTCAGATTCCAGATATTAAAATAGTTGTATTTTGGCCAAATATTGTTACTATCCTAATAAACAATACATCAATGGAAAGCTTATTTATTCAGCTTTCAGATAATGTATAAATCGCAATTTCAGTTTTATGGTCCAGTGTCACAAATAGACACTAACGTGTCCTTACCCTTATTCCTTTGTTGGGTTCTCTGCGGTACTGCTCAACAATGGCGTCTCTGTCTCTGCAGTAGAGTTCATATCCTCCAGACTGACTGTACTCTCCATCCTGCAGCCGTTTATTCATGTCAGAGGACAGATTCTTCAGCAGATCTCTGCACTTTCTCTCTGATGCCATCTCATTCTCTTCCAACAAGTCTGTATAGCACATAGATACAGCTTCCTATAAACACATAAAAGCAGAAATAATATCTCAAACATGCATAAATACACTTATACAAAGACAGAATGTATTGGGCACTGCGTTTGTATACATTGTTGTATGAATTAGTTGTATTAATCTGATGGATGTAATTTATGAGGTCACCAGATATCAACACATTAACAATCTCCAACCTTATAATACTTGCAGAAAGCTAGTATTCCCTTCGCATTAATGTCACTGTCATTAATCTCAGATACATAAAGGCTATGATGCATACATGAGTGCACAAGTATTAGTCGCGCTTATAAATTTATAACTCACCTCCAGTTTCTTCAAGTATTCCATTTTTTCATCTTTAAATGAGCGTTTCGTGAATTTATCAATGGCCAGACTGCTGAATTTCTGGTGCTCACAGGTCAGCTTTTCTATACTGATTGGTAATGTCTTCTTCAACTGTAAAAACATAGTGTGCGTTTACTTAAAGGGTGTTTGTGCATTCACTGAAGATGTTCAAGCCAACATTGGTGGTTCTGAATTTGGAGACATATTCAAAATGCAGCTGTATACAAAGTTTGGTGTTTTGACTTGGGATGTGATTATTAATGGGATTATTACTCTGTATAGAGACACAGAGAACATGACCACATAAAAAACAACTGAACTCAATCAGAATGTGCCTCGCCTCTTCCATCCCTCCCTGATATACTTTCAGAGCTTCTTGAACAGCTGTCTGGTTTTCTAGATTTGCCAGAACAACCACTGCATTGTCCAGACAGGGCACTTCACCACTGCTGATTGTGTCTACATAAATCTCAACCAGATGCCCGAGCACTGACAACACACACAAACAGTTAAGAGTACAGTAAATGCTCCACGGTATCTTCAAACCACAGATGAAGAGTTTTACTAAATAAATGTTTAATTTGTTTATTTGTTTGATCATGCAAAACTTATTGTGAATCTGAAATGTGTTAAAGATTCAACTGAACGAAACTTTTCATTTGGTAAAACACTCACATCGGCCAGTAACTATGTGTCCTCCTTTCAGTCTTTTCACATCACTGTTGACAAACATGTAGTCACAGAAATGTCCCGTGAACTCCTGAAATTGTTGTGCAAGGTCCTGGTCTTGTAAGATCTCCAGGCGTGTCGTGTCTTGGTGCGAGGTAGCGGGAAACGGGAACACAAAACACTTCCGGCTAGGGAAATAACGCTTGATACATTCACGAGGCAGATTGTAGTCTCTAATTTTCTTACTCACACCTAAAAAGAGATTATTCAGGAAAGAGAAAGAAATATTCACCAAATCAGTGGCACTGAGTCAGTCAACATACTTCATTTGCATTTTTCAGGCATTGTTCATTTACAGAAATACATACACGAATATTCAAATAGGCTGTGAGTGCAGACAAATATGTGGTCCAGTAATGAAATAGCAATCATACCAGTTTAGTATGTAGTCTAGATTGCAGGCATCAGTAGTTATTTTAAAGACCTCACAGAACGGATATCATGGGCCAGTGAGTCTATTCGTGTTTATTTTTACAATGTTTTTAAATTCAAATTCTACTCCAGAATAGAAATGAATCCAGTAGGTGGGCAAATAATTCTTTTAACCTTCCTGTAGTTCAAATAGAGAATGGTGCTACCAATGCCAATATCATGGGTTTAATTCCCAGGGTAACCAAGAATTAATATGCTTATACTGTAACTAAAACTTATACTGTATAGCTGCTTTGGAAAACAGCTACTGCCAAATGTGTAAATGTAATTCTGTCTTTAATACCTTTCCTCAGATTAAGGGCAAATTCAATTAATCGTCATCTGTCACTTTCTTCCCATCAATTTCCAATTCCAAGGTGAAATCTCTCACGACCCAGATGAATGATGGGAAAAACCGCACAAACTCAGAATCTTCTCCTTCCTCCTCATCATCTGCTGCTTCTGTCGATCTGATCTTGATCTGCTCAGCGAGCTCAACAACGTAGCTGCAGCACATTAAGAAATAACAACATCTTGTAAAGTGTATATATATATATATGAAAGAGGAATGGGTTATGTGGTTAAAGGATACTGCAGCTTTTCCACTGCAGTGTTATCAATAGTGCCACGGCTGTTGTACACCAACGTGCTGCTGAGCAGAACAGCCAGACAGAAGATCCAGCCGTCATTCTTAGAGTCTCCCTGAAACACACAGAGTCTTCAGATCAAAGTATTCATTCAGAACCAGTGTTGGGAGTAACGCATTACAAAAGTAATAATATTACAGTAGTATATTACTTTCTGCTGTAACGCAGTAATATAACGCATTACTAATCAAATTTGGGTAATATTATTACTCGTTATACATTTTGGAAGTAACTTGCCCAACACTGTTCAGAACACAATACAACTTAATACTGTTCCTTCTGAGGTGCTAATGGCAAACTGAGACAGGGAAATTATTAGTAGTAGTTAGTGACTGTGCTCACCTTTGCTACGTCCCCAAGTCCTTCTGTGTCCAGAAGCACAAGAGTGTGTCCTTCTTTATTAGGGTGAGGGACACACCACATCCAGATGCCTTTAGTCTTTGATTCAATAGTGCTGCCCAGAGCAAAGCCTGAGACAATAACATTATTATTATTATGCAGTTGCTGTTTTCAGATGTTCTCATTTGAGAAGGACTTTCAGCATTTTCTCTCACCGGACTGTTGTCCTGCCAGGCGGTTCATAAGGTAAGACTTCCCCGTACGGTAGAGTCCCACCACAGACACCACCACCACCGGCTCATTGATCCCATCCAGAATGTCTTTGGCCTCTTTTCTCACACGCAGCCGCCTATTACAGCTCTTGATCAAGTAGTATTTCTAGTATTTTAGTCTGTGTGTAATGTCTCTAAATTTGCTGCTGTAATTAAAGAAATATTGCAAATCTTTAGGCCTGCGTAAACCACTGCATCTACATACAATTAAAGAGAAACAGCTTAAAATATCTTGTGCCTATAAGTTTCTTATTCTCTGCTCTATGCATGATATTGATTGAAAAAAATGCACTGTCACTGGCAGATCAATAAAGGAGGAGTCAAAAGTGAAAGTGTTTTCAGATTCAGTTTACACTGACAAACAACAGCTCTGTCTGTTATCTGAAACCCCCTGCACATGGGCTCTGTAGAATAATAAAACACATGTGCATGATTATTTCTTTATCTATTTAGACAGAAATTTCATTCCACAGTCATAACTCAATAACTCATAAAAACATTTTTTGTTATGGAAGCCCTTCCCATTATTAATTTGCATTTCAGTTTGAATTATAGCCTTTATACATTAGTTTCATTCCTCTGCAGTGGAATAACTGGAGAATACGTGGAGTAGCTGTTTAAGCAGTGCTGTGCTGCCCCCTGGCTACAGTATAATTTACAGCTCTTTTTATTATTACATATAGTGTTCATTAGAATTTGGTCTGAAAATACCAAATATACCAAAAGGACAGTAAAATACCAAAGGACAAATAAAATAAAACAAGATCCAAAATAATAAACTAAGAATGGTTGTTTTGATATCTCTTATTGCTTATCTTTTTATTCATATCTATGCATATGATGATATCAGTAGATTTCATAGAGTTCACTTAAATATGAAAAGCAATCTTGAAATATGGAAGGCGATTACAAACATTTGAATTACTACATTAGACTGTAGGCCTATGATTATGTGTTTTAAGAGATTTTATTTCTAATGTCTGCTTAAGTAATTTAAAGAGGAGAAAAATAGATCTTACCTCTGCTTGTCTTCTGTCGTGGATGGTTCTGACTGAAGCTCGTGTATAAATACTGAAGAGGTGGTCAGCGCCGTCTCAGAAGCCCACTCCCAGAAAGTCCGTAAAATGAGGTGATTCCCGGAAATCATGATGCTGCAGAATTGACTTCGTGAACAAGGTGAGCTATTGCAGAATAAGATAGGAGGTCTAGTCGTCCTCATCCATATGAATTTGAGGTGATTGAGTTGGTGGTCGTATATTAATTTCATTTAAATATGGATTTTGACGAACTCTTTTATTAACAAATGGGGTAGTTTTATTAATTATACTACATTTAACGTTTGTTAAAATGTTTACATATGCTGTTTGTGTGTGTGTGTGTGTGTGTGTGTGTGTGTGTGAGTGTGTGTGTGTGTGTGTGTGAGAGTGTGTGTGTGTGTGTGTGTAGCCTACTGTCGCAGCAGATGATAGGATCGTGAGCTCTCGGTTTCGATTTCACTTTCTTTCTTTGAAATTGGATGGCACGTGAGTTTATCACCTATGCCAGTTTGATGAAAGAGCCGTTGAGAGAAAGATAAAGAGACGTTTTTTTTTCTTTTTCTTTAGTGAGCCTTTATGATTTAGCAAGTTAGGCAAAGCACATCAAAACGTCCAATAATTGGAGAAGAGAAGCTAACTGCAGCCTGAAGATCTCTAAATGGGTGTGGGAAGTCTGGGAACTCCAAAACGGGATGGGAGCTCAAAAACAGGGCGTGGCTTCCTCCCATTGACGGACAGAAACATGAAAAGGGGTTCTTATTTGTGCATGGTAGAGGTCTACACGGGTCCAAAAATTCGTACCCGAACCCGAAGAGACCCGTAAATGTGCTACACTGTTATCCTGGCAACCCTCAAACTTCAGTACTAAAATTATGACGTCATGATTTCGCCCCGGCTAAGCAAGTCAGCTTATGGTGGTTTTGCTGTCTTTCTGCAAGCAATGTTCATTTCACCATGTTAATTAGATAATTTGTAATTAAATACGTATTAATGTACGTGACGTCTTGTTCGG